GTGCCATGAGGGGTCGCCATCATGATATGCTGGGGATAGATATGAGTTAGCCCATTAAAGTTGACAAATAGCGGTGATTATTGGTTTGCAGCTATGGATGTTTATCACCCAATCAATTTAATATGCATCCACAACTGCAAGGTAGATTGGCTGAGTTTATAACCCAACAAGTTATTGACCCAGCCAAAATTGGTGTTGACGTTCATTAGATCTCAAAGGTCACCTGGAAATCCAGTAATGAGCAACCCATCTCATCATTTTCGAAGTTGATGGCTGTAACCACTCTTTTTATAGATGTGTCCAAAAATGCAATACCACGTTCTTTGAAGCTGAGGGTCCCTAGCAGCCCTAGCATCGGCAAAAATGTCCCATTTCCGGGCAAACCCAAATATGAAATGGATAAATGGTTGGTTACATATCCCGGATATCCCATAAAAAAATGGTAAAAGGGGGATGCTAGGACATCCCATGTTAATATGTTGCCTGTTATGGTTTTCAGGTTTCTGTTCAATGTTTCTTCCTTGTCTTTGATGTTTTTTGTGTGGGGGTTTCTGGGGTCATTTTGATGCTAAAGTGATGTGTCAATGTTTGGTTTGGATGAGGGTGGGGTTTGTTGAGGTTGTTGTGTTTTATGTGAGGGTTTAGGTTGGTGATTACTTCATAATATGTTTGTTTTCTTTCTCTTTCTTCTGGGTCTTCTTGGGTTTTTGTTTCATTTTCGGCTTTATATGTTGTAATTATGCTATACTCATATGTTGTCAGGTTTTATGGGTTGTAGCTGTGTAAATGTAAGGTTTTATGATTATTGTAGTTTCCCTTTCTTCGTCCTTGTTCGCCATGTTTTTCATCAACATCTTCGTGCCTCTCGCCTGGATGCTCAGATGGGTGTGGGGGGTGACTTTGCCGAACTCGCTTTGACACGCAGAAGCTGTTGTGCTGTTGTGCTCAAGACGCGCAAAATGCGAAAACCTATAGCGGATCTCATGATAAGTAACACCAGGCGGCATGCAACACCCAGGGCGAAGCGTTGCCATGTGATGTTTTCCGGGCGCTTCGATAAGGAGCACTTCATGGTTTTGCAGAATTACATTATTCAATCACCTATGCGCTACATACATACTTCACCAAGCAAGTTGAGATGCAGATTGGTCGGTGTGTAATATAGATATCTTGATTAGAATCTTTTACAGTAGGGACAATCATGATTGCTTCTTCAAGTTGCTGTATGGTTGCCAATCTAATTCGATAGTCTTATGTGTGGTTGGGTGTTTCTTGGGGCAACAAGCCCTGGAAGGACGAGAGAATTGAGTACATGCAGGAGGTTGAGGATGAGCTCTCCAATAAGTACAAGATAAACACCTTTATGGTGAAGGCAGCACCTGGTCAAAGCTTCGCCAAACAGACTCTCGAGGGGCTGCAGGGCATGGTAGTCATGGTTGCTTTTTGCAGCTCACAATACGGTGAGAAGACGGGGGTTGGATATGAGACGTTCGAGGAGCTAAAGTATGCCCACGAGAACCAGATCCCCATCATACCTGTGAGGCTGTGTCATGTGTACCCCCCTCAACCTCAAAAGGAGGCCAAAGGAAAAGAATGCCCGTGCTGCTATACGCCCCGACCTGAACGTGATGATTGGGGATGTGGACAAAACGACCTCGTGTTGAATAAATCCTTGGTCTACATTGACGGCATGACTGCAGAAGGCAAGTACATACCCTCGAAAGACTTGGCCCGCAAGATTCATGCATCTTTGTCCAAAAATGATTTCATCCGGGAGGTCAGCACTAGTTTCGAAGGCGATGCGTGCCACATGTGCACATCATGCACAATCTCGTAACAATTGTTTGGGACATCATGCTGAAAGCAAGGATGCGCCCTTTGCAGCATCAATTCCTCAAGTGTCATGCCAAGATGTTTTTCTTTGTCATGCGTACTTCACACCACTTCGACGGAGATTTGATGATGCTTTGTGCCTGTTGTCCTCTTGAAAAAATAGCTCAATGTGATAAAGCACACTCAGCCGAACTGAGCAGCGGATGAGCCTTTCCAAGAAAAATGTGCTTTTGTAGACACTTTGATGCATGAACCACTTGCTTTAGTCACTAATTACATGACTTCACGTATTTCATGCAACAAGGAGTCATGACAATCAACATGTGAGATTAATCGTGCCGGAATTGGGGTGAGGCAGAAGACAGGTTGACAATGGTATCAAGGTTGATAGGTAGGCAACTGATGGTCAAATTCGGCAGATGCCACTCAAAGACAGACAGACGCGTTGGGGAAAAGGTGCTTCTGAAGTCTCACTTGAACAGTCGTGTTGGACGGTTTCTTCCAGAAGATTAGAATTTCATTGGTGAAGTTGAGATGGATGACAAACACTGGCAGAGTTTCCAGACCCAACACTTGATTTTACCCCGACAGCATTTTCCAGTTTTCCACCGCCACCGCATTGAGGTTAAGAAGACATCACTGAAATGACCTTCGTGAAGGTCAGTCAAACCCCAACTTTTGGTCAAAATTTCAACCAGAGCATTCACTGCGTGCCATTGCCAAACAGTCTTCAGACTAACATTTGACAGTGATTTTCAACCAGAACTTGAAATAGGCGACCTTGCCAAACAATCTTCAGAGTTTGTAATTTTTCGGGATTATTCACTTCATTTTCCCAACACATTGGATACATATATATATAATATAATATATATATATATACACATTGGATTATGAACATACCCACACACAAACACATATATATAATATTTTGTCCTTACCCCATTGTTCAACCTAACCTGTCAGAAGGGACGTCGAGGAATTCATCACGCGTCGGGCACTGTTTTTTTTCTTTTTAAGGGGTTATTAATACAGGATTATATAAATATAAGATATAGAAGAAAGAAGAAGAAGAAGGATGGAAAAATCCAACACTGGCGGGGGAGCGAACCGCTCTGGATTGATGCTGATGACGAAGGCACACCCCCCAGTGTTGGTGGCGGATTTTGAACTGATTATTTATATTCGTGTTGCGGTTCAATTTGAAATTCTTATAGAAACTTCGTTTAGGCTTCACCCATAAAATCTATGCAAAGACCCTCACCAGACATATATTCTGACATTCAACCATATTTCAATCCTCACCATAAACCAACATAACGGGACAAATGGTTTCTACATCCAGTTGTATTGAAAAAATGACTATACCAAATCCCTCGGTTTCAACGCAAGACCCAAAAATACTTAAAGACATACCGCCTAATATAATTAAGAATTGAATATGCCCTGCTATTTAGTAATTGATGGCAAGAAGCAAGAAATGGATGAGGACATCTTTGACCAGATGGTTGAAGCACTCCATCAACCTACAATCCAAGAACCCCCAATCCAAACCTCCACAAGATGGCAACCCGACGCAACTTATGACAAGAAACCCAACGACCCACAATACTTCCAAAAATACTATCAAAAGAAATTATCAACACCTTTCACCTGTCCCGACTGCGGACGCACCATTTCGTCCAAATCCAATCTATCAAAACATCGTCAAACCAACATTTGTATGAGGAAAAGATGCCAGTGTTGAAATCCAAAATTTTCTCAATAACAATCATTTTTGTTGAGAAGGTTTTTATGTTGAAGTCCAACCCCAATCCCAGAAATCCCAACAGGCAACCAGAGCCCAAAAGTACCTTATAGGGTATAGAGTAAATGGCAGAGGATACAAGGTTGAAACATTCAACAGAAATGTTATATGTTAAAAACCAATCAGACAATCAATCCAATCAACCGCAACATCCTCAACAAACAATTCATACTGAAAAACTACTTAAAGAAACATTCACTAATAATAATATAGACTATACTATAATGGACACTTCACAGCAGATTGTTTTAGATTACCTTTTATCATCCGAACAGGGTGAGATATTGAAACGGAATGGACAGGAACTCAAGAAACTCAAGATTGGAGAGAAGACCTACAACTTTGAAAGGGGAAAACCCATATCAAAGAGGTTGATTACAAAATTCAACAAGATTAGGCAGACTATGGACTACAAAAAGTATGAACTGAAAGAGAAGAGAGGCATTAGATGGGTCAATCTTGACAAGAACAAAGCACTCACAGGCATCCAAATGAGATACAAAGCAACCACCACCAACGAACAATCTGCTTTCAAAGGTTATGTCAATGCGTATGCCATCACCAACATCAGGGTTAGAGGCATCAAAGCACTACAGTATTTGAAATATCAAGATTTGAGGTTAAAAGAGTATTTGAGGAAACATAATGGAATGAAGGTTATGCTACAGGTCTTCGCCACTTTGAAGAGCAAAAAGACCAATGAAGATGTAAGACAAGTCATCAAGAGTAGAAGATACAACATCACCAACGAAGGTGAAATACCTAACGCATTGAGCCAGATGGCAAGTGATGTAGAGCACCAAGCTGAGGTGATGGAAGTGTCGGATAGCGGTCTTGTCATAACCCAGATTGACAAAATTACTTTACTTCGTGTGATCCCCACCATGACATTTATACATTTTCTTACTGGCAAATCTTCTGGCATTCTATCTGACATATCTTCTGACATTCTATTTGACATTCTATCTGGCATATCTTCTGGCATATGATCTGGCATATCTTCTGGCATATCTTCTGGCATTCTATCTGGCAAATCTTCTGGCATTCTATCTGGCATATCTTCTGGCATATGGCATTCTATCTGGCATATCTTCTCTATCTGACATATCTTCTGGCATTCTATCTGCATATCTTCTGGCATATATTCTGACATATCTTCTGGCATATCTTCTGGCATATCTTCTGACATATCTATCTGGCATATCTTCTGGCATATTTTCTGGCATTCTATCTGGCAAATCTTCTGGCATTCTATCTGGCATTCTATCTGGCATATTATCTGGCATTCTATCTGGCATATCTTCTGGCATATCTTCTGGCATATCTTCTGGCATATCTTCTGACATTCTTTCTGACATTC